ACACAGCCAGGAAGTGGCAGAACTAGAATAGGAACCCAAGCAGCCTGGCTTCGTAGTCCATCATCTCGGTTACGACACCATATGGCGGGACCCTGTCCGCAGCACATCCTGCACACCTGCCCTGGGTGCCTGGTGCTCTCCCGCCTCCTGCCCCCAGCTGCTCCCATCACCTCAAACCCCAGCATCCTTCTTCCTCCCTTCACGATGAGTCCTTGAGGGCTCCTTACCGCTCATAGAATACCAGCCAGACCCTTCACAGTGGCACTTGAGACCTTGCAGTGGACTCAAGCCTGCTTTTCAAGCACGGTCCCATGACTCTGGGCCCCACCCTGGGGTGCGTGTCATTCCCCGACCCCCAGACAGTCACCTGCTTCCAGGCTTGGGCTACTCCTCCTTCAAGGATGCCACTCCCTGCACCTCGGTCCGTGAGCCCCTGTCCTGTGCTTCCAGGCTCAGCTCCAATGTGCCTCCCTGCCCACCCTTCTCCCCACTCCCCCCACGGGTCAGAACTCACTTCACGGAGACCGAGAACTCCCCAGGGGAGCTCTCACTCTCCCGGATCAGGAAAGCTCCCAGGTGGTTCCGCTTCATCAGAATCTCTTCGGCCAGCTGCCGGGAAATCCTGCCCGAGTACCACCTGCAGAGGGAGGGGGCAGGTGAGGGCGGTGGGAAAGCCAGGCTGTCCCTTTCCCCATGTGCCAGGCAACGAACGTCGCTGACCCTCACACCAGTCCTGAGACACAGGAGATATGATTTGCACCCATTTCACAGATGAGTAAGCTGAGGCACAGAGAGGCAAAGTGACAAGCCCAAGGTTACATGCTGCGCAGGCAGGACCTGGGACCCAGTCCCAGCATTTTGGCTCCCGAGCCCAAGCCTTTCCCACCACGCCAGGCCAACATCCCCTTAGGAAAAGAGAAAAATCAAACCTTAGTGAACCTCCACTCAGCCAACCCCAGCTGAGCGCTTCCGTTTTAGATGATAGATTCTTAAAAGTGAAAAAATATAAAAATGGATGACAAAAGCAATTGCAGCTTTGGTCTGATGAAGAAGGAGCGCTCCCTGCACCCATTTCACAGATGCACAGACTGAGGCCACCTGGATTTTTTCGTCCCAGGTACAAGTCCCTTTTCTGGCTGACCACATAGAACTGGGAATGCAGAAGCTCCTGGCAAATGCTTAGAGTCTTGCAAGAACCCCATTGCCCCCCGACCCCCAGTGCCTTGGGGTGCGGGTGAAAGGCCAGGACTCAGCTTCTCTGCCAGTCCTGCCCATCTTGCTGTGTGGGCCAGGCAAGCTCCCCGGCCTCTGTGGGCCTTGCTGGCCCTCGCAGCGTCCAGGTGGTCTCTGACTGGGCCCTTTATTGTGCAGATGGGGAAACTGAGGCCCAGAGCAGCCCAGGGGCGGGGTCTGGAGACTCCTTTCCTCGTAAAGCTTCCCTTCCCTCTTTCAGCAAATGCTTCCTGAGTCTGAGCTTGGCACCGGGGGCGGCTGTGAGGTGGGACTTTTCCTGTTGTCTCAGGATGTTGCCGAGCCCTTGAAGCCCGGGGCAGGGGCAACAGGTGCAGCGCCCCATGGTGTCCTGCCCTGTCCCCGCTCCCCACGGTGTCGCCTGCCAAATGCGAACACTGGGATCCTGCCCTGGGGCTTTTTTTCTAGTGACTGTGCGCAGGGTGGGCTGAGCCCCCAGAACATTGTGATGTGTTGTGTTTATCCCCTCGGGAGCAGGTGGATAAACATTCAGCTCCCCTGCCCCCGACGGAACATTCTGGGGACACTATGCTGTCTCCCCACCCTCCCCGGTGCCTGTCGCCTGCCCACAGCCACCACTGGTAACACACCCCTAACCACTGGCTCCTTCCCTGCCCACTTCCCACTCCGAAATAAAGTCCTTGTCCTCACACCGTATCTCAGGCCCTGGTTCTGGGATGCCCACACCCAGAAGTGCGGCTTAGCCCGCTGCTGTCCCCAAACTGGTGGGGACCCCCGGAGCCCGTCTCACGATGGATTTCCTGGGAGGGGAGGTGGTGAAAGATGGTTGCTCAGTGTGGGGGCTCGAGGCAACCATCTGGAAAGCTCAGCCCAGGTCCCTGGAGTTTGGGAGGCCTGGATGGAGGCTTTCAGGCCAGAGGCTGAGCTGGGGGGCCGGGGAAGGGAGCTCCTCCACCGGGAAGCCCCCAGCAGGACACAGGTGCAGGCACCACGAAGGAGCAGGGGCCCACTGGGGCCCCGAGTGGGCGTTTCCTGAGGGCCTGGGTGTCTCTAAAGAACCCACAAAACCCCACAGGAGGCATCAGTGTGTGGGCGCCCGTCACCCTCAAAGGCTTTTGCAACCACACCCTCTGAGGGGGCCAGCTCCGCCCCCATCGGAACAAGGCAAGGCTGGTCCTCAGGTGGCTTGAAGGACAGAGTGCAGGAGCAACATTTCCCGAAGGCCCCAGAACCCGCCTCTCTCCGCCATGCCAGTGCCATGCTTCTTGGGGCCACCTCGTATCCTCCCCCATTTCACTGATGTGGAAACTGAGGCTCGGAGGAGGGCAGGGATCCCCCGAAAGGTTGCCCAGCAAGTCCCTGGCCTCAGGCCCTCCCCCAGTGCCACGGTGGGCACAACCCCGGGGTGGGGGGAGGCACACAGCACAGGGCTGCAAATCCCATGCTGCCTCTTGCCGGCTGGGCGCGCCTGGACAAGCCAGCCAACCTCTCTGTACCTCTGTCTCCTTGTCCATGAGACCGTGATGATGGCACCCGGCTTGCAGGGCCCCTGGGAGATTGGGGGCCCTGATGAACTAGCTCACGCCCCTCCCCCCGCAGCACTCCCTTAGGCCTGTCTGCTGCCCTCCCTGGCAAACTTCTAACTCCCAGGCCCAGCGAGCCATGCCTTCTTCTGGAAAGCCTCCCTGCCGTCCACTGGCACAGTGCTGGGTGGGTGCCTCTGGGGGCCCCTAGTCTGCATCACGGCCCCCCCAGGGGCTCCCTGGCCAGGCAGGGGAGACAGTGGGTCCTCAGCGAAGGAGCGGGGCTGGTGTAGGCCGAGTGAGGCCCTCTGGGACCCCAGTCCTCCCCCCACTGCCCTGCACCCCAGGGCCTGACAGGCTGAGTCAGATGCTGAGCTGGAGTTCCCCCCTTGCTATTTTGGGGCCAGGGCAGGTGCTGAGGTTAGCCGAGAATATACCCGGGCATGGCCTCCAACAGGTTGGTTGGGGGCCTGAGCCCTGTCCCTGCTTTGTCCCAGACACCGGTGACCAGATTTGACCCCAGGGACCCCCAGGGCTTCGGACACCGGGACCCTCCACAGCTTCCAATGGGTAGAGAGTCTTGTCTCAACCACCAGCAGTGCCCGGAAAGGCCTGGCCTTGCCCTGAAATCTGCTCAAGGCTTCCCAGCAGCTTTGGGCCTTCTGGGCTTCCAGCCTTGGCCGGGACACGGCAGCCAGCGGCCCAGGGGGGTCACTCCTACCTGTGGTCGCTCCCCGGGGTGCCTGGCATCTCTCCCTCGTGCCCTCCTTTGAGTGGCAGAAAGACTATAAAAGGCCAGGGGGCAGACACCTGCCCCCTGTCACATGGCCCAGGGGGGCCGCTACGGGGCCTGGATCGGGGAGCTGTGGCCAGCATGTGGGCGGGAGGCGGCGGCCTCTGTGTGGGAGGCCGGGGATGCCTGGAGCCCAAGCAGAGGACTAGCCGGGGACCTGGGTGGGTTGGGGCTTGCCCAGCACAGGAAGCTGGAGGCGGGGGCAGCTTTGGAAATAACTCGAAGACAGATAAAGAGGAAACATCGCCCCCCGCCAGACACCGCCCTGGTGGTGCACCTCCCTCCCCTTCCACCCCACAGTCACACACACCTCATGGCCTCCAGTCTGCCCCCTCCAGCCTGCAAGGCCCTGTCACTGTTCTCCACATCTGACGGAGTCCCTCCCCCCGCTCAGCCATCTCCGTGCTCCCCACCACCCCGGGCCCACCATTGGAGGCCCTCCTGCCGGTCCCATTGCCATGGGTTCGCCCTCATCGTCTTCCCTGTCCCCTCTCTGGGGAGTGCCTTTCTCTTCTTCTACCTAGCTAACTCCTACGCACCCTTCAAAACCTCATTCGTTGCTACCTCTTCTGAGAAGCCTTCCCCAGTTACCTCAGGGCTGACTGCCTTCCCATCTTGTACTTTCTTTATGTCCCGTCTCTCCCCCAGGATGGGGCTGTTCCGACTCCCAGGCGCTCCTCATGTGTCTCCAGCATCACCCAGGCCGGCCCCCCTGGGGTGTGGCTAGTGTTTGATGAATGACAGAGTGAGGGGCTACTTGCGCCACCGTCTCAAGCAGATCCAGTTGGTTTTTTCATAGGTTCTTGGCCACTGGGGCCTGTTCTGGGGCTGGGCTCTGCCCCAGCCATTCCCAGGGCGGCAGGCTGGGGTGCTACCTGCTGTGAGCCCCATGGGGGCTTCCCTAGGCTCCACACGTGACTCCTAATCTGCCCCAGTCGCAGGGCATTGGTCTGCTCGGCCAACGTCCAGCTCCCCAAAAACCCCCAAAGGCAGGGCCCACAGGATCTGCTTCCCACACCCCCCGTCACCCCTCCATTGTCCCCTTCACTCCTCATCCTCACACAAGGCTGAGCCAGCCTCTTAGAGAAAGCTCTAGAATCCTCTGCAGATTGAAGCCTCAGCCCTCCTTATGTTACAGATAGGGAAACTGAGGAATAGAGAGACCACACGGCAGCCAGCGGCCCAGCCAGCCGAGAGCCCGGGGCCCTGTCCCTCCAGCACCCTCCTGGGTGTTCCCCGGTGTTCCAGATCCTCAGTGTTGTGGCCTGGGCTGGTCCTGACTCTGCCACCACTTTGGTTCCCACATCTCTGTCCCCTGCCCCTGCTCAGGGTAGAGACAGGGGCCCCAGGCAGATGAACGGAAGCCGGAGCGAGGAGTCCCCGTGCCCAAGGCACGTGCCAGGCCCCGAGCTTTTCAGGCAGCTCGGCTCAGGCTGGGCCAGGCCAGGTGGGGACACTGGGCTGTAGGGGCTGGGGTGGGGGTGCCTTGAGCATAGGGCTGGGGTGGCAGCCACTCACGGATGGGGCTTGATGCGGATGTAGTTCTTGGGAATAAAGCCCTCAGCGCCTCGGAGCTCAGCCTTGTACCAGTTCTGGTCATCTTCCATGTTCAGGATCTGTGGGCAGGAGAGACACGGTCACCCGGTCACCGAAGAGGGACAACTGCCATCTGCTGAGGTCCTGCTGTTCAAGGACCCCAGGTCGGGGATCCCAGGACCCATTTCACAGAGGACGGTTGGGGACCTGCCCAAGCTCACAAGGACCATGTCTGATGTCTCAGTCCTGCTTGCTTTCAGGCCCAGGACAGCCTGTCCCCAGGAGGGTCACAGACTCCGCAGGCTGGACAGTTGGGGACCCAGAGGAGGTCAGTGGGTTGAACTTTGGGGGGGCTGGAGCTGGACTCTCAGGATTTGAATCCCAGGCCCCCAGCAGACCACACGGTCTTGGGGGGGCAGATCCGGGGTGCCTCAGTTCCCAAGCTGTGCCCCTGAGCGTGGGGGCTCCACAGCATTCATATGCCACGCAGAGCCATGGGGTGGAGGTCTGAGGTCCCCCAGAAGGTCAGGGAGCCCCAGCCCGAGCTTGGTGCCTCCTGGTGGTTCACCTGGGGTCACTTGCCTTTAAACAGCCCTTATAATCTGAGTTGGGGGATGTCATTTCAGGGTGGTGGGGACTCAGGCACCAGGGAGCAAATAAGGGAGGCCTTTGGGCTATGATGGGGCTGCGGCCCGGCCTGCTCAGGTCACACGGGCCCCTTGTCAGCAGCCGCGCAGGTGGGCCGAGAGGAACTGAAACAGCCCGAGTGGGGGTGGGCCTTGCAGGGGCTGAGCAACCAAGCGGCCGCAGGGAGGAACCGGCCGGGTCTGGGGAGTGGGTACAGCATGAGTCTTGGGGCTCCTTCCTCCTTCCCCTGGGCCAGCCTCCCACATGGGACAGCTCATCACCCCAAAGGCTACTTCACAGATGAGAACCCTGAGGCCCAGAGATGGGAGGTGAACAAGGCCACACAGCAGTGGGGAGGCAGAGCCCGTACGGCAAGCCAGGACTCTGGGGTCTGGGGTTCTTGGCTCAGCTGCTCTAGGGGAGACCGTAGCCCATGAGTTTTTAACCTCACTCCCCCTCCCACTTGTGTCTGGACCCAAGGCCTGGAGAGCATCTCTCCTGTCAGTCCTGAAGCAAATGCCAACATTAGCTCAATCCTAGTGGGTATTTGTTGAGGGGGGGAAAAAAATCAGATATACAACAGCATCCCAAGTAGAGGACATTGGAAGAGCAGAGGGCTGGGGGCAGGCCAATGCAAAGCCATCAATTTAGTTCGATTTTCCTGGGAAGAGCTGAGATTTGCTCCTTTGGGTCCGGGCCTTGCAGGCAGGCACCCCCTTATCTGTCTGCCAGGCCCCGTTGAGCTCCTTCCTTCCTGACTGTAGCCTGGGCAAGGTCAGCAGCCCCAGGGGCGGACGGAAGCAGGTGGCTGACTCCGGACAACTTCTGCTGAAAACAAAACAATTCCCCAACTTAATAGGACACTTAAAGCCTGTCGGCTGCCTTCCATGGCCATGGGTTCAAGGAAGATGCCCGGGAGCCTGGCGCTACCCTATTCTGTCTGCTTCTGACTCTCTCCATAGTCTCGGCCTCAGTTTCTTCGTCTGTGAAATGGACACATTTGTGGCCTATGCTGAATGTGGCAGTCTTGTAACTACAAAGTCCTGTGTGGCCATGTGACTGTCCTATCTCGAATAGAATCTTCGTTTTGTTTTATTTTGTTTTGTTTTCCTGTCATCTCCACTCCGAGGACCCAGAAATGTTCTCAAAGGTTACATGAGCTGAATTCTTGATGTTCACATTGTTCAAAATCTACAGACCCCCCTGAGACATGAGAATTCGCACAAAGGAAAGAGACCAACTCCTCCCTGGTGAAATCCACACCTTGGTCTGCCCTCAGGGCTTTGCTCCCACCGCGTCCTCCACCCGGGGTGCCATGTGGGGACTGGGAGGGCTGGGAGCAGGGGGAGGCGGCAGCGAGGAGCTTCTGCACTGGCCCAGGTGAGCGAGGGAGGCCCCGACCGGGCGGGCAGTGCGGGAGGGGTGTGGAGAAGTGGTCAGGGTCGGGATAGGTGTCGGCAGAGTCGCTGACGGGACTGAACAGCAGGCCGGGCACGAGACAGGTAGGGAGCGACCAGGACAAGTCCGGGGGTTGGCACCTGCTCTCGTGGCCATCAGCTGCTATCCCACAACTGTCGAGGAGCAGACTGGGGGGCTCAGGGTCGACTCCACTGGGTCAGAGGTGCCATCGACCATCCCTCTGGAGATGCCGAGGAGGCTGTGGGCTCCCTGAGTCTGGGTCTCGGGGGCCAGGTCACCCACGGAGAGATGGGGGTGAAGCCGCCACCCACCTCCCTCCTCCAGCTGGGAGCGATGGGGTGCTGTGCCCCCAGAAGTGCCTAGCCCGACAGGCAGGACGCTTTGTTCCAGAGAAGTGATGTTTGGGGCCATTTGTCCAGAGTGGGTGCACCTCCCACCTAAGCTTCCTCCAAGACCGGAGCTCAGATTGCTTTATCCACGGGGGCTCCCAGGGGTTGGGAATCCGCCTGCGGGCACTGCTGTGACAGGGTCCTACCTCCAGGGGGCGCGCGGGAAACATTCGCTGGAAGAGTGAATGAAATGCCTCTAGGAGCGCCCCCCCCCCCCCCCCCCCCCCCAGCCCAGCCAGGTAAAGGAGGGCCAGCAGACCCACACACCGCCGCCCTGGCCCGGGAGAAGAGGGGACACAGCGTGACATGGCAGTCACGTTTTTACGGTTCTACAGAAAGAGGGCTTCGCAGGAGTGAGACGGCTGAGGCACGTCGGGGACTAAATTTAAGGGGGCGTCAAGAAACTCAGGAATCAAGATAAAGAATATTTTAAGACAAGATGTTAAAAAAATCAAATCAATGCAAAAACTCTGATTACGTTCATGAGTTAACAATAAGGTATCAATACCAGTCCATTAACGGAAAAAAGGTAGGGTGCTAATCATGTAAGATGCTACCCACTGGGGCAGATGGGTCCAAGTCCCCCTGTGCTATCTCCTCGATTTTTCTGTAAATCTAAAACTGTTGCGAAAATTAAAAAGCTAATGCAAGGGGCGCCTGGGTGGCTCAGTCGGTTTAAGTATCTGCCTTCGGCTCAGGTCACGATCCCAGGATTCTGGGATCCAGTCCCTCATCTGGCTCCCTGCTCAGCAGGGAACCTGCTTCTCCCTCTCCTCCCTGCTCGTGCTCTCTCTCTGTCTCTCTCTCTCAAATAAATAAAATCTTTAGAAAGAAAGAAGGAAAGGAGGAATAGCTCATGGCCCACCTCCCAAAACCAACCACTGCTAGCTTTTCGGATCATTTCTTTCTAGAAAGGTCTTTTTTTTTTTTCAGAGCACAAATCCAGTGCATGATGGGTAGTTTTCCTTCCACAAAATTAATACCTATTGATTATCTATGTAGAGTACGTTTGCATTCTGCTTTTTGCCACTTGACGCTGCATCATGAGCTTTTTTATGCCGTTAAACACCCTCCCCAAATAGCATTTTCAGGGCTGTATGATATTTGGTACCATCACTAGGTGGGCAGTCAAGGCTGATTTCACACTCCGCAAACTTGCACCCATATTCCCCACCCCTCGCCAGCTTCATTCTTTCCCATGCACTGTCTCCTTCTGACAAACTCTGTATGTTACTTATTAATCTGGTTTGTGGCCCTCGGCTGCCACCAGAATGTCAGCTGCATGAGCAGTGCCTGTGCCCATTTTCTCCTTGCTGAGTCGTCACTGCCTAGCCGAGGCCCGCGGACATGCAGAGTGCTCCCTGAATCCCCATGAGAGAACACACATACATCTCTGATCACGTCTCAGTTTTCCAGAGGCAGAATTTCTGGGTCACAGGACATGGAGATTTTTATGGCTTTTTATATGTTCTCCAAGTTCTCTGCAAAATGATTGTGTCACTTTACCTGTCCACCACCCCCATGTAAAAGTGCACATTTTCCCACACCCTCAATAACCTTGGAGATTCTTTTTAAAATAAAATTTTGCTGATCTGGCAAATGGAAAACAGTTACTTGCTTTAAGTTGGGTGGTTTTGTTACTGGTGAAATTGGGCACTTACTTGCTTACATTGCTTCTTTGACAATTTTCCCGTTCATATCCTGTGCCCATTTTTCTATTATGCTGTTTGTGATTTTCTTATTGATTTATAACAGCTCTTTACATATTAAGGATATTAATGTTTTGTCATGATTTTTGTGTGTTTGTTTAAACCACCTTCATTTCTTACCTAGGAGACTGCAAGAGCCCCTCTCTGCTTCCATTCCTGTCCCCTCTGTTATCTTTTGAAAATGTAAATCTGATCAAGTCTTTTTCCCTGCTGAAAACTCTTTATAAATTTAGAATGAAATACAAATCTTTCACAGGCCCTGATGCCTGCCTACCTCCAACATCATCCTTACCCTCTCCTTCTCACCCACTGCCCTTCAGCCACAGACCTTTCAACTCTTCAAATACACAAATATGGTCCTGCCTCAGGGCCTTTGCACCAGCTGTTCTCCCCACACCTGGTGCTCTCTTCCCCCGGCTCTTTGCATGGCTGATTCCTGCTCATCCTTCAGGGCTGAGCTAAAGGTGTTATCTCTCTCTCTCTCTCTCTTTTTAAGTAAGCTCTATGCCCAATGTGGGGCTCGAATTCATGACCCCGAGATCAAGAGTCACATGCTCCATTGACTGAGCCAGCCAGGCGCCCCTAGGTCTTAACTCTTTTGAGAGACTGTCCTGACCACCCCATCTAAAGCTGTCCCCCTGCCCCCTCCCACCCACCGTCACCCTCATTCCATCTCGCTGTGTTCATTTCTTCAATCCATTCATCACCTCCTGATGTCACTCACTCTCTGGAATGTCAGCTCCCAGAGGGCAGGGACTTTGCTTCGTTCCTTGCTATATCCCCAGCACTTAGGACAATGCCTGGCACAGGGTAGGTGCTCAATCACTTGACAAATGTTTGTGGAAAGAAGGAAAAAAAAGGCAGATCTTCCCACTGCCTGACATTCCTCCATCAGTCTTTTTATTTATTTATTTATTTATTTATTTATTTATTTATTTATTTGAGAGAGAGAAAGAGATAGAGAGCATGAGAGGAGGGAGGTTCAGAGAGAGAAGCAGACTCCCGGCCGAGCAGGGAGCCCGATGCGGGACTCGATCCTGGGACTCCAGGATCATGACCTGAGCCGAAGGCAATCGCTTAACCAACTGAGCCACCCAGGCACCCCCTCCATCAGTCTTTGAGCCTGAAAAGCCCCCTCCTCAGTCTCTGTGGACACAAGGTGCAAATCCCCCTGGGAGGGATGCGCCCGTTTCAGCTAACATGTTAATCCTTCCGTCCTTCCTTCTTTCCTGCAACATTCCCCATGTTTTATTAGGAGCTTACTGTGGGCCAGACACTGCTTTATGTCCTGATGCTCCAGTGTGGTCCTGGCCTCGTGAGCTCACCCCTTCCTTAGCCAGCACCTCTGTTAGAAGCAAACATGCTGGGAGTTGCCTAATGCTTTAGCAAAAGTTGGTGGAAAACGTGACTCATCTTGGGGTGGGGGTCAGGGGCACCGGAATCTGGGAGGGAAGTGGAGATGTCATAGTCTTTACTATAATTGCCTTGGGGGACACCCAAGGATCCATCCTGTCCACCACTGGCTGATCACTCTGAGCCTCAGCTGGAGCCCAGCACCTACTCCGTTCCTATGTCCTCATTGTCCCACTCCCCACCAAGCCCCAAATCTGGGTCTAGAGACCCCAAACTGCTCTCAAAGCAGTCAATGAAGCCTCTGAACTGGACCCAGCTCTCCCAGGATGTCTCCTGCCCCGGCTAGGTGGTGCTGGTGCTAAGCCTGCCCCTGTCGCCCGCCGGCCACATGTCCCCAGGGCCCCCAGCCAGCAGCTCAGGTGGAGGGAGGAAGGGGATTCCTTAAGGGGACATGGTTCCTCTTGGGGAGCACCACGCTCCTGAACCCCAACCCAGGCTGTTCAGTCTCACGGAGACAGAATGAAGGTTCCAGAATCAAGCCGTGGTATGAATTTCTTTTCCCTTTCCTCCACACTGCTGGGAAGCTCCTTCTCTACACCGAAATCACAGTTCTTCACCCTGAAAGCTTTTCTATCCCTCTCCCCCTCTTTTCAACTGTCTTTTCAAACTCTTCCCAGGAAAACTGGGCGTTGAACCGACTCCTGCCAGGCACTAAGCTAATGTTTCCTTGAATCTTCACAACGCGCCCCCTGAAGGACAGGTCACAGTTATCTCCCCATTTCCAAGATGGGGACACTGAGGCTCAGCGGGAGGAGGCAACTTGTCCAGAATCACACAGCCAATACCTGGAGAAGCCGGGCCTGTCCTCCTCTGGAAGCTGGACCCTGTTTGGGGGGCTGTCCTGGGCCTCTGATTCTTAACACCCTCCCAACTCAGCCCATCCCAGCCACCCTACCTTGAGTGTGTCCCCCTTGTTGAAGGCCAGCTCATCACTCTCCGTGGCCTGGAAGCTGTACAGGGCCACAGACTCCATCCCGCTGGTCCCAGGCCCCAGCAGCTGGGCTCTGAGCAGGGTCGGCTCTTCCTGCTTCCTCTGCAGTCGAGGACCGTCTTCCTTTGTTTTGAGAGCGAGCTGTGCTTTTGAAGCGGCCCCCGAGGGAGGAGAAACAGGAAGCTGACAAGTCACAGAGCACGGCGAGCCTGTGAGCAGCCCGGCCCCTACCTTAGACCCCAAAGGCCAGGTATGGCTCTTGGGGAGTCCCCAGGCAGCCTGGGAGGGGGTGCCCTCTTCTACCCATGTCACAGATGAGGTACAGAGGTTTCCAGAGAAAAAGTGCCTTCCTGGCAGCTCGGGCAATGTGTCTCATGGTCCCAACCACCCCCACCGGCTTGCCAATCTGCCCTTCACATTTTCTGAACTCCAAGGCCTCTCAGAACTCCCCAGGGCCTGCCTCGTCCACCCCGAGCTCCTTGCCTGACATTCAAGGCACTTCCAAGCCATTACCCCTGCCTACCACTGCTCCTCTCCAGAGCCATCCTTTGTTATCCTCTTGCCCTGTGAACAAACACTGGGCTCCAGCCAAGGGGGGGTGGGTGGGGGACACACTGCTCTTTCATGCCCCTGCCTTTTGCACATGCAGGTCCCTTCCCCTGTTTCACCCTGGGAGACTCCTATGCATCCCTCAAAGCCCATTTCAGAAGGTGCCTCTTCCGGTTTTAAACACTGGGCATCCTCCATGCAGTTGAGATCCTAAGGTCAAAGAGAACTGCAAATAAATCTTGACCTCTCATTAGTAGGTTTATTACGGGTCATGGTATCAGGATAGCAATTCTGCAACAATGGCATGAGTATTACAGGAAAGAGCATCAGTGGATAAATGCGGTGGCGTTGCTTCAAACCCTGGTTCTTTCCGGGAAAGAAAGGAGACACAAACCTGGAAGGGCAAAGCGAGGAAGAGCCCTGTGGCATTGGATGGGAACTGGATGGCTCAGTGTGAAGGCATGCTATTTTTTTTCTATAAAGGAGTTTTTCCTCCTTTGTTTATATCAGTATGGTTACATCCTGCTTTCCTGTTTTCGTCAATGGGTTAGAATCCATAACTGCAACGATTGATGTGGGATGCTCAAACTGTCCCGGATTTGGCCAGTGGGATCCCTTTCAAGCTGCCTGCTTGTCCTTCTGCCAAGTGCCCGTCCTTCTCTGAACAAGTCCCTTCTGCCGGTATGTTCCAGGCTCATCGAAGTCTTCTCCTGCGTCACCCTGGAATCAGCCTCCTCAGAGAGGTGGAAGATAGTGTTTACCCAGGATTGAGTCGGTGTTAGTTGGGTTTATTACCCTGGAGCTGTTAGAGCTTCTAGACCCACTACACAGGTAGAGAAGGGGGGAAAATACACACACACACACACACACACACATCCATTATGTGTAAATATACTCATATATAAACTCATTATATATGTAGATATAAAAGAGAGACTCATTCATATGAGTCTTGAGAAATAGATTTCCTGGGGGACAGAGTATGTCCATATTTTTAAGTTTACTTCTCTGCGTGTCTATATAGTTCTGGATAATAGATTAAAAACTAGGAGCTCAAGCAGATATGAATGGGTGAATGCAGATGAGGGGTTTTTGCGTGTCCTTGTGCCCTTCTCACAGCTTTTCTGAAGGCTTGAAATTTTTCTATGTAAAACATTGATAAGCTATAGTTATCTCAAAATAAAAGGTTTAATTTAAAAAAAAATAAAAAAACAAAAGCCGTGGGGCAAGAAGAGGAACATGGCAGAAGCCATGGCCCGTTCCGGAGCCCCTAAGCCTTGGCCAGCACCCCACAACCCCTTCCTGGTCTTTCCTCCAGGCCCCTCCCTGTCTTCCGCCCAGACCCCAGCGTGACAGGATGTTTTAAGGCTCTTCTTTCCGGCTCAGTTTCAGCTGAGGTTTCAAAGCCTCAGAATGGTGCAGCCAGGGGGTTGGGATCCACCCCACCCCAAATCTGAGGTGCCTAAAGGCAGGCGTGGGGAGGGTTTTCCTTAGGAAGCCGAGCATGTGTCTCCTGGGGCTTGGGGACCAGCTGGCTGGTTTATTCAATGTTTTTCAAAGTCCTTATTCTGTGCCAAGTCACACACAAAAAGGTGAGTAGCTCTCCAAAGGGCCCATGGCTAGTATGTGGCCAGGCTTGGAGGGGGGGGTCAAGCCTGGGAGGACCTGAGCCAGGCCAGGCGGTGACCCCCGTGCCACGTGTGACCTCAGCCTGGAGCCTGAGGAGCACACCGTGAGTCAAGAGAGCCGAGCTAGGGGTGAGCCACAGATTGGAGGAGTACAAATGCACCCAATTCCCAGAGACCACAGAGGACCCCCCAAATGGGACTTGACCGAGAGGACCCTTCGGGACTTTGGGCACCCCAGCTGAGGGTAGACAGTGGGGCCTACAATGAAGGGGGCATCAGATCTGGCAGCTAGGAGCATCAAGGCCCTCAGGGGAATTGCAGCTGGAGTCCCTGGGGAAGTCCCTCAAAAGCTGCCCACAGGAGGAAAAAAAAAAAATCAGCATTGGTCACTAGCCACGCCAGGCCACAGCAGAGCCAGCCACGTAAGACTCTCCATCCTTAGGCCCTAATTCCTTGTGGCAGGCTGATCCGTGGCCCCAAGACATCCAGGGCCTCATCCCTGGACCCTGTGAATGTTCCCTTGTCTGACAAAGGGACCTCGCAGACGCGGCTGAGGTCAGCATCTTGAGGTGGGGAGAGGACCCTGGATTGTCCAGGGGCGCCCTCGGTGTGACCTCAGGTATCCTCGGAGAGGGGGATGGAGGCCGCTCTGACACAGAAGCAGGAGGTATGTGACCGAAGCACGATGCTAGGCTCCCCGCTTTGAAGATGGAGGAAGGGGCCACGAGCCCAGGGATGCGAGGGGCGCGGCTCTGGAAGCTGAGAGAGGTCCCGCACAGAGTCTCCCCTGGAGGCTCCAGAAGGAGCCAGCCTGCCCACGCCTTGACGTTAGCCCAGTGACACTGATTTGAGACTTCTGGTCTCCACAACTGCAGAGAATAGTCTTGTGTTGTTAAATAAGCCACTAAAGCTTGTTACAGAAACCACAGGACACAAATACACCCCATCTCCCTCAGGGGCTGATCCTACGGGGAGGACATTCGGAAAAGGCAGCTTGAGACCTGAAGGCTGGGGGCGGGGCGCGGAAAAATTGATCACTCCAGGTCCAGAGCCAGGGTCGGGGGTCGGGGAACCACAATTTTCAATGCAAGTTGGAGTTCTGTCGTTATTAGACTGGATTATACCCTTGACACTACAAGGAGGCAGGACGGAGGACTTTTTATCATCAGATGTTAACTGAGAGACATCTGAGGAATCTCCCTGAGTTTTCGTTCTGGGCCGGGAAGGAAGCATTTGTCAAGGAAAGTTTAGCAACAGAGGGGAGAGGAAGGATCAAATTGTTTTCTGAGGCCCATTCACTCAAGAACTCTTTCTTAATGGGGCGCCTGGGTGGCTCAGTCGGTTAAGCGTCCAACTCTTGGTTTCCGCTCAGGTCCTGATCTCAGGATCGTGAGATCGAGGCCCGCATGGGGCCCCGGGCTCAGTGTGGAGTCTGCTTAAGAATCTCTCTTCCTCTCCTTCTGTCCCCCCTCCCCATGCTCTCTTTCAAATAAATCTTTAAAAACTTGGGCGCCTGGGTGGCTCAGTTGGTTAAGCGTCTGCCTTCGGCTCAGGTCATGATCCGGGGGTCCTGGGATCAAGCCCCGCATCCGGCTCCCTGCTCAGCAGGGAGCCTGCTTCTCCCTCTGCCTGCCGCTCCCCCTGCTTGTGCTTTCTCTCTCTGTGTCAAATAAATAAATAAATAAAATCTTTAAAAAACAACAACAACAAAACTCTTTCTTGAGCCTCTATTCTGTGCCCGGCTCTACATAAGATTTTGTGTGTGTAACAGAGAGATGGAGAAAACAAAACAAAACAGAACAAATTTCTGCCTTCAGAGATAGACAGCCAGCAGACCCCCGTGAAACCGGTAAAAACTAGTGAACAACCCCTAAAAAATATTTAAAGCTTCTGAAAAGGGTCCAAAGGGTGAACAGAAAATGAAAACTCATTTAAGAACACTTAGGGAAATTTGGTAAAAAAAGGTGAGAGTCTGTGGTATTTGAACCAAGACCGCTCCTTCCCTTTACTCTCCGACCAGTTCAGTGAGGTGAAGACTCCACTCCAGACCACTGGGGCCAACGACACAGGGCCCTGCCCCCCCAGACCAACGACACAGGGCCCTGCTCCCCCAGAACAACAACACAGACCCCTGCCCCCCCACCAAAACACAGGGCCCCTCTCTCCCCAGACCAACAACACAGGGCCCTCCTCCCCCCAGACCAACAACACAGGGCCTTCCTCCCCCAGACTAACAACACAGGGCCCCTCTCCCCCCAGACCAACGACACAAGGCCCCCCTCCTCCCAGACCAACGACACAGGGCCCCCCCTCCCCCCAGACCAACAACACAGGGCCCCTCTGTGGGCTGACCCGATAGGGCCGAAGCCAGGGGCATGGAAGGTGGGAGAATTCACTCAGGGCAGAACAGAGGAAATAGAAGTTCACTGAATACACTGCGAAGGAGCTGTGGGCAGGACAGCAAGGAGGTGGGGGGGGGGGCTGGAGTTAAGGGGGAAGTGAGGAGGTATGGGAACATATGGAATTTTCCTTTTTGGTGCCTGTGTCCGGGTATAAGTAGCCCATTGGTCAGCCAGGGCTTATGGATATTTTGAGGTGGGTCCCCTAGTGGGCCTGTTTGCATCCAGCCCTGTGGTCACTGTGGACCCTTCCTCCTCAGGTTCCCGGTGCTCAAGCCTGGGGCCTAAAAGCAATCTCTACATCCACCCCTATAGTCCAGACAGATGGACAATGAAAGATCTTTGGCATCCGGGCGGGGATCTTCAGTAGCTGTTTCATGCTGAATGGTGTGTGCGGCGGGGTGGGGGGCACGCTGTCTCTGCCTAAACTTGTCGGCCCATCAGGGGTCCTGCGCAATTGTAGACCAGAGCATGGTAGTACATTAATGTACTGATAGGCGATTTGAGCGACATTCCTTAGTGGCCAGGTCCATGAGATTTAGGGGGAGGGGACCCTCTGATGGGATGAACTGGAATCCTTGTCAAACCATCATCTGTATAT